GGATTTCCACAGTGCCTACTTTTGAAAAAGTACAAATTGTCCAAGGAAAACATTGACCACAAGATCACTACCACACTAGTTTCCCACACTATAGAAAGAAAATTATGTCATTCTCTTCCATTTAATACAGAAGAGTTCATAGCCTTACACAACTTGCTCAGAAGACAAATTAATAAATAACATCATATTTCATCTGTATAATGATTTACAGTTTATAGTTCACAAAGCACTTTGACCTTCACAATAATTTTTTTCTTGCTCCCATTGGATAGGTTAAAAAACTAAGGATTGAAATGGAGAAGACCTTTCTATGACTCAAAATCCAAAAGCCATAAAAGAAAAGCCAAGAGAGTCTAAAAGAAGTTTGCATAAAAACCTAGAAGATCTACATGGGAATAAAAGAAGTCAGAAGACAAGTATGAAAACGGAAAATATTTGCAATACATACCATCGACATAAAGTTTATCCTAACATACATAGAGACCTAGAAATCAATAGGAAAGAGAACTAAGACAATAGAAAAGGATTTAAACAAGTAGTTTACACGAAAGGAAATATGAGTGACTCATATAATATAAAAAGACGTTCAACCTGAACTTAACTTTTTAAATCTTAAAACTACTCTGAGGTATCATTTTTCTCTATCAGATTGGCAAAAATTCATGTTTGATATCAACAAAAAGCATAATACTGACAACACTGATCCTGGAGCCATAGTGTTTAGTTTGAATTTCTGCCACAGTAGCCATGTGATTTGGGCAAGTCACTTACTTAAATTCTCTATTTCTCTATATATCCATCTGAAAAATGGAAATAATAATAGTAACTACCTCAAAGGGGTGTTATTAAGTGAGGTAATGCATATAAAGCACTTAGAATAATATCTGGCAAATAGTAAGCACCATATAAGTATTAGCTATGATACTGCTAATGCTGAGTGAATAGGCAATGTATAGTGGAACAATCCCTATGGAGAACAATTTGACAATATATTTCATAGTTATAAATGAGTATATCCTTTGACTTATAAATCCCACTTTCTGCAAATTCATCCCACAAATACACTTGAACACATGTAAAACGGCCTGTGTTCAAGGGTCTTCATTATAGAATTGCTTATTTCAAAAGACTGGAAGCAGCACAAATGTCAAACAATAACGAACTAGTTAAATAAAATCTTATTCAGTGGAATTTTATGCAGGTAAAAGAAATAAATGGAGGGAGGGAGGGAGGAAAGAAGTAGGCAGAAGCCCTCTATACATGATCTGGAAAGGTCTCCAAGATACATTAAGTGAAAACACAGCAGGTGGGGGGGTACTGCAGAACAGTGGGGAATGAAGGGCTAACTTTTGCATGACAAGTGGGAAAAATAAGATTATTCATATTTGTAAAGATTTGCCAAAACAAAGTCTAAAAGGATATAAAGAAACTAGTAAAAGTGATTGGGAGGAGCATGGAACTGGTTGAATGGGGTGAGACTTTCAATATTTATATAAAATATATAAATGCAAAATTTATTTAACCATTTGAATGTATAACCTACTTAAAGATTAAATTTAAAAAAAAACTAAAACTCACAAAGGACAGGAAATTTGCCTACAATCAGATGGCTAATAACAGACTTGATCAGTTAGAACTTCCATTGTTTTTTCCTTATATCACACTGCCTTTTTGAAATGTTTCAGGAATGGAAGATATAAAAATTATCACAAGCAGGCTTTTCTCTGAAACAACCACTCCTCTGAGTGCTCAGCAAAAATCATGATACCACACTGAAGTATGCTCCATATGATGACTTAGAAAATAGTATAATACCCATTGTTGGTCCAAAACATTCATCATCACCCACTCCATGCAATGTAATAATTGGGCTTCATTTACTGGAAGAGATGAAATTCTCATAAAAACCCTTATCACAGGTTTCAAATTCCAACACAACTTTTATTTTGCAGAACAGTTAAGTATACAAAGTAAGAATATATCTAAACACTTTTACATAGGGGGAAGAAAGCATTAAAGCCAGTCAGCTTTCTACTCTAAACCAGGGTATGAGTACATGTACATATGTAATTTTCTTTTTACAATTAACATAGTACCAAATGTTAGTGAGGATCCTGGGATAGAGAGTCCCTAGCCCGGCCTCCCAACACATACCCTTTCAAACAGAATTAAACAGGCCCCTTATGTGCCAAACCACAGAGGATTTGTTTTTAACACCATCCCAAATACACACCTGTATGAGAGAATAAAACACCATACATCCAGGACTCCCAAGCATACGAGGATCTTTACATTAATTGAGATCAACAACTAGTGATCATGTACCACCTAGTACTACCTTCTAATAAGTGCCAAGGAACTTCCAACTCAATCTGGACACCTCAATTCTGAGCAGTCCCACCTATAGGACCCAGTATCTCCTGTGTTCCATTTCCTGCTATCATACTGGGTAACTGTGACACCCTGACATATTCAATACACTTCATAGCTCCTTAACCTCCCAGTATTTCAATAACCTATACCTTCAATTCCTCTTCGACAACACTGAGACAGTCACACTCAATTTTTGCTTTTACCTAGAACCACTGAACACTCAGCCTTCTCCTTCTGCACTTCTTAACAAAACCTGGTCTTCAGCCACATTTCTGTCTCCTTACTCTCCAAGTACACCAGCCCCTCTGAAGGTTTTATTTCTTGTAACCCTCAGTGCCCATCATATCTCCCACACTATCACTAGCACCGTAAGGTTCCTCCCCATTTTATTTTTCCTTCTTGTAAATTCCAATTGTGGATCAACCCAACCATCTTTTTTGCCCTCCTCCTTTTAGGCTACTGTATAAAGTGTAAAATCCATGCTACTGGGCCCCACTACAAATATATTATTTCTAACTTTAACTGGGCCCTCAATGTGCTCAGCAATCTTTTTTTTTTTAATCCTTAATCCAGTCCTCTCATTTTCCATTGAAGATCTCCATAGCCATAACACTCAAATCAGAAACTTACCATATTTTCTTTGTTCTCCAGAGATAATTGATGTCTCCTCAGATAACTGATCACATCAAGAAATAAGGCCATCTATGAAACTCCCTCCCTTACCTCACCTTCCCTTCCACTACATCATTCTCCATCTTGACTTCTATCATTTTGGTGTTAAAAAATGAAATGCTCAATATATTTCATAGGCAAATTTTCCCTTCAATCTACAAAACTGCTTTACCCATTCTAAAAAGAAAAAAAACATGTGCCACAGTAGAAAGAACATAAGTTTCAGAGCCAGACAGACCTGTTCAAATTCTTACCTATCATCTTTCCAATTGTAAAAGAGGGATGCTGATACCTAAGCCACAAGGCTATTGTGACCTACAGAGCATTTTTTCCCGTACCTAGCATGTAATGTATTCACAAAAAAGATGTTTCACTACTATCAGCTCTCCACAACCACACTTGTTGAAACAGTAATTTTACTCACTGCCTCCCATTTATTCCTCAATCCATCATGATCTATTACTACCATCACACCGTCTAAAGTGTCTTTTAAAGGAAATAAATGATCTCCTAATTGCTAAATTCAATGATGTTTTCCTAATCCTCATTCTACTTGATCTCTGGAGCACTTGACACTGATGGTCACCCCCTTCCTTTTTGAAACTGTTTCTTCCTTTGGCTTCGATTATAATGCCATTCTGTTGTAGTTCTTTCCCCATTTTTTTAACCTCTCTTTCTCAGTGTATATTACCCTTCAAACAATGATGTTCCTTCTGGTCCATTGCCCTTTTATTCTCTTCTTTTCGTGTTACCATCCCATACTTAGAAGCAAAATATCCCCTATATTGCATTTCCCCATATATTCTGTTAATCCTTACTTATTTAGCTCCAGCCTTTCTCCCAGTTTTCAGACCTCACACTGCCCACAGTGATACCTGAAACACACCTCAAACTGAGCTTGTACAAAACCAAATTCATTATCTTCCCTCAGGATTGCTTCTTTATGATCCCTACTTTGATTAACACTAACAAACCATCCTATCAGCCAAGTTAGAAACCTCCCACTAGTCAGTCATCTCAATGCTATTTGGAAACTTCATTGAATTGCACGCCATTCTCTTTATTTTCCTAACACTATTCCAGTTCATCCCCTCTGACTTGGCTTAGCACACTAAGTTTCCCACCTACCTAGGCTTTCTGCCTCCATACTGTCTTCACTTTCAATTCTTCCTCCACTTTTTCACCGGAGACAGCAATCATACAAAATTCCTGCTACAAAACCTTCAATGGCTCCCTATACCTACAGAATAAAGTCCAAATTCTCTAGCAAGGTTTTCTCAGAGGTATAAATCGTAACATTTTTTAATTAGACAAACTTAGGTTTCATTTCTAGCTAACTCTGAATACTGGCTTAGTCCAGCGTCTTCAAAGGGAAGGGTGAAAGGCAGAGAAGGAAAAGGAGGGATGCGGAAAAGAGAGGTGATAGGGAAGAAAAGAAGAGAGGGAGACAGTAGTGTCTCCGAGGTAAGTATCTGTAGGGTAGAAATGAAAGGTTTCGAGGGAAGAGTAGGTCTGTGGTAAGTAAAGTGAAGGAGTCCAGATCTCTGAAGGAGCGAGTGGCGAGACGAGGGAGGCTCTCGGGGTGGAGTTGGAGGCTCAGAAACAGTTGTCCGAGGAAATGAATGATTCCTGAGTCTCTTAATTGAGGAAGGCTTCTAAGTGAAGTCAGGGACCAGATTCCTGACATGAAGGAACTTTTAATGGATTCCGGCCTCTGAGGCTAGAGGGCGGCGTGGGGCCGGAGGGGTGTCCCGGGACCCTGAGAGAAGCAAAAACGAAGAGGTCGAGGAGCAGTGTCCCCAACCTCTGAGAGGACGACCTCTGGGAAGCGAAGGGGTCCTGTCGGTGCTAAGGTACCCGAGAGCCAATGCTCGGAGCCGAGGCGGGTGCAGCAGCCGCGCGCGCGAGGGCCGGGGCGCCCCGGGTTTGTGCCCCACGCGCTCTCCTGGCGTTACCTGAGGCGGGGCTGAGGGTGCCTGCGCTGGCGGGAGGGGCAGGCGGCAGCAAAGAGGGAGCATAGTAGCCCTCAGAACTCGGAGGCGGCAGCGGTTCTTAGCTTGCGGAGGCGGTGGGGGTCCCGCGTGCAGAAGCCGGAGACTAGGCGGGGCTATCGGCAGCGGAGGACGAGGAGGCTACTGCCATAGCCCCACAGGTGGGGCCAAGACGATCCGGCTGGCTAGCCTGCCACACAGCATAACACCCCGCTGGGCTCCCCGGTCGCGAACGACTGCAACACCACCGGCCGGGCAGTGGCCCTAGGGGCGGGGATTCGGGTGGGTCACACCCCTCTCCTCAAGCCCTCCCCCAGAGCAGCCAATCAATCGTCAATGTATGATAAACGAGCAAGTGGGATTGCCCAATTAGCGTTAGGAATGCCACGTGGTATGAGGGTGGGCACAACGGGCGTCCAGAAGAGCCAATCAACAGCCCTCAGCGCCAACTCTGGAGGACGAAGGGAACCAATAAGAAGGAAGTAGAAGTAAAAACAGAAGAGGCAGTGTGTTGGAAAGGCGGAACCAGGGAGAAGGGATACACCTGGGGGAAACCCAAATCCTAGAGCCTCTCAGAGGGCGGAACAGTAAACACAAAATGAACCAATCAAAATGCCAAACATATAAGCGATTGGCAAGCGATAAAGCCAACAGAACATGCATTCTACTGGGGTAGCTTTTGGGTTGGTGAAGGTATTGCTATAGAAGGTATTTTCTGAGTAAGGAAAAGCCGGATGAATGCAGCGGTCCTGCAGGATCTCAGTATAGTGTGGGGAGAAAACAAACAATTATTAGCCACTTCAGATACTAAAAGCAATGTATAGGGTTAAACAAAATGCCTAGGCAGCAATTCATCGAATAAGAGATTCAATTCGGTGGAGGCTTCTTGACGGAGGTAACACTTGTGCTGGCTTGAAAACTTTTGAAGAGCTGGGTGGGGAATAAAAATTCTATTCAACTGTACAACAGACACCTATTTCCTCGTGTTTTCCGTATGCCGCGACCTCAGGTGCTCATTTTCTCATGCCTGAGAAGATTGGAACAGGACCAGGGCTTCCAGGGTAAAGGAGGCTAAGAAACAGTGGAGTACCACCCTTCCTGCACAAGCACTCCCTGTAATTAAGAGACCTCCTTTTAGACAGCCTTAGATATGCCTCCTACTGGAGGGGTCTTGACAGATGAGAGGGATTTGAATAGTTGAAGATAGGTAGTTATTCATTCCTGGTGGCAATAGTTTAAGAAAGATGTATGGTAGGAGATAAGAACAGAGAGAGAAGAGGTTAAATGTAGGTGGGACTTAAATGCCAAGTTTGCCCTTTCCTTTTTATTCTGCAAAAGCTATCAAAGGTTCTTGAGCAGGAGAGTGTCCTTAAAAGGGCACTTTTTCCAGAAGATTAATTGGTAACTAACTCAGGGAGAGAAGAGATCACCCTAGCCCATTCCCCTTGGCCTGAAGCTTCTGTATCATTCTTCTGGCACTAAATCATGTGCTGCCACCTGGTGACAGTTCAAAAACCTTTGCTTCACATTGCTTTTTTTTTTACTTATAAGTTGATGCTTTATTACCCATATTTCACATAGGCAGAAACCAGGCTGAGATAGGTCAGGAAGCTCGCCTAAGTATCACAGCTAGGGAAGGGCAGAATTTGATTTGAAACAACAGGTCAGTCACTCTCTTAAGCTTACGTTCTCCCACCCACTTGACTTTTATTTTGAAACATTTCAAACCTACAAAAAAGGTGAAATATAGTACAACATTCACGTACTCTTCATCTGGAGTCACCAGCTAGTAAATAGCCTGTGCTTTATACAAAATCACCCCATCTTTCTCTAACATACTGCTTGGGATATGACTGGTCCACATTGCTTTGTAATGTTTCTGTTGTTACAAGTTTGGCACCCTTGCAAACCTGTCTTCCACAGAACCTATGCAAAGTACTTGATAAGTAGAGCACTGGTAGCAAGTAGAACTGAATAAGGCTGCCATGCCAGATGTATCCCCTGCCCAGTGAAAGATGTAAAAGACGGGGTTCCTTGCACCTGTTTCAGCAGGAAGGTAAGTCTTAATGGGAAGTTTTTTTTTTTCTTGAGCAGATTCTGTATGACCCAGGTCTCATCTTTATCATTCCATTCCAATCTCAGCAATATCCCTAATGCTGAAGGGAAAGAACTGAGAATTGCCTTTCTCAGACATCAAAGGCCCATTCTTCATGAGCTGTCTGTTAGGCCAGGTCCTTGAATGCATCCCATAACAGGAAGTAGTTCCTGCCCTACTCAGCCTTTTGTTATGCTTTTATTTCAGGTAACTGTCTCCTCTTGCCAGCTAAACTAAGAGTTGGGACCTTTACATGAGCCCACTGCACATCCTAGGGCAAATAAATACCAGGACTGGTATGTATTGTGCTCAATAAACATCCACTTGGTGGGTGAATGGCATTATCTTTTAGCAATATTTAGCAGTGGAAGAGACCTCATGAGACTTCATGAGATGCTGCTGCTCCTAAGGAAATCCTGGACTGCACTGTTTAGAATACAAAGCCCAGGTAAGGAGAAAGTAAAGATGCCCTTAGTCTACCTAGGAAGATAGTCTTTCCAGAAAACAATCAAATGGTGGAAGAATCAGAACCAATAGCCACAAAGCAGTTTTTTTAATATAATAGAAAATATGAGAGTGTATCATTCCTAGTAAGTATTTAATCATGAAATTTGTTTCAGTTAACAAATATATACCTTTGTATTTTACTAAGCTACAGTGTAAACTGTATTTCTTACTGGATGTAAAAGTAAAAACTTTAAAAGCCATTGGATTAGAGGCAGAGATACTGAAAGAAGAGAAACCGAGGAGGAGACTGCTGCAGGAATGCAGGCTGGGCTTCTGAGAATGAGGAGTTGTGTAGGTTGGCAGAAGCTGGAGATGAGGAGAGGGAGCCTCCTACTGCCCAAGTCCAGGGCCCACCAGAATGTCTCACCCTCCTCTGCATCCCCACAGCAGTACTACTGCTGGCCCCAAAGCACTGTCCTACCTCATTCTACCCACCAGAATGGAAGCTCCCATCTCCTTCCAGGTTCCACTGAGCAAGGGCTTGCACTCAAAGGTACAGCTGTAAATGTCTATGAACTTGGATTTCAGAGAGAGGTGGCAGGAAGTAGTCAAGAAACAGGAGGAAGTGGGTGCTGATTCACAGAAAACACATTAGAAAGACTTAAAAAACATTTTATTACAGTTGGTGAGCAGGTAGTGACAAGCCTCAGCAGGGAGGGCAGATACCAGCTACATCAAGAAGGGAGGGGCAGGGGGCCCAGAAACAAGGCCTTGGAGGAGAAGGCAAGCAAAGAAGACTTTACCCAACTACTCTGACAAGTCCTTATAGGTCACTCAGGAGCATCTTGGGACTCTTAAAGAATAGGTACCCCCTGCACAAGACTCTGGGCATAGAGCTGAAAGCTGCTGGGCTCCAGGTTAAAAAGTGTGCTCCTCTGGAAATCTAAGAGGAGAGAAAGGGAAGAGAGAACAAACCATCAGCAAGCACTGTGATACACACAGAACTAAGCTCTGGGCCTGTCTGTTGGGAAGGGACATACAGGACTGATTTGGGATAAGTAGCAACAGAGGTCTATGGGTTTACACAGAAAGAGGCAGAAACTCATTCTACCCAGTAGCAATTAGGCAGCTGGCACCCAAGCACCATTCAGATTCAACCTCCACAGAACTGGGATCCCTGCCCTTACCCCCACTTAGCTTACTTAAAAGTTCCCAACTACTGTTACTGTCTGGAAGACTGACTTCAGAGCTAGATGAAGAAAGAGACATGGCAAAGGTGGCAGCCAGGGGCAGCTTAGATTGGAGGACGTGAACAGAGGTTCTAAAAAGGGGAACATAATCAGAGGCAGAGATGATGATGGTGGGTCAACCCTCCCAGCACAGAACTGTCCTCCTTTCTGAGGCTAGGATTCCAGTCTCCTCCCTCTTTATCCTCCAAACACACAAAGATACTTTGGTGACTCTATATCAAATAATGAATGCCTAGCTAGTACTGCCCTTTGGGCTATAACCCAGATACTCATACCACCCCTAAAAGTTCATGTCAAATCTAGAATAGCTGAACTTTGATCCCCATTCCTGGCCTATGTGAAAAAAATCCTTTTCACTGCCACAAACACCATGGCCTTTTATCTGAGGAGATCATGCTCCTACTGGGCATCCTGAGTCTCTGTCCTGGCAGCCTGCAGGGTGTGACCCTTGCCTGCCTGGCCACTTTGCAGCTGCGCCAACAACTGCCAGACCATGAGCCCAAATAGGACCCAACTTCTCTGTCTCTGGGAGGAATTCCGCCACCCCACAAGTGGCCTCCTCAGCACAGCTGGAACCCTCACGTGGGCAAGGACACTTTCTCATGGCCTGGAGGAGAGGGCGTGGGAAGAAGAGCTTTGGAGGGAGGTAGAGGCAGCACAGAGAAGGGAGGGAAAGAGAAAGGAGTGGGAAAGGGTATCCTGGTCTGTCTGCAGAACAAGACAGACAAAGAAGTGATAGGCACAAAGAGGAGGTCTAGTCCTGGTCCTTCCTTCCAGCTTCAGGCCTGAGCTTGCCTCCCCTCAGCCAGTTGTCCCAGCAGCAGTTCCTGGTGCTGGCCTACAGGTGAGAGAAAATATAAGGGGGCTGTTCTCCAACTTCCTTCCCCCTCCCTCCCTTATGCCCAGTCTGGTGCTGAAATCGGAAACAGATACATTCTAGTCCAATTGATGGGAGGTTTCCAAGCTGCTTGACTAAAGAGACTAACACTTTTAGAGGCAAGACAAATACTTAACCAGACTTCTGAGTAGCTCAAACAGTTAGCACTATGGCCACTTACTAGGGAGCATCAGGCAGATTTCCAAAAAGGGGGCAGGTAAACTCATACCCATCCTCAATCTTTTACTCACGCAGCTGGCCCCGCAACAACTTCAGTTCCTCGCACAGAATCTTTCACTCCTCCCACAGCAGTTGCTGCCTGCAGGGATGACAGCCCCGTCATTCTAAAGCCAATCAACAAGCCCAGAGAAGGTCAGCAGAGCCACATTTCCATCAGTAGCATTGCGAAGTGTGTGGAGCTGCTCAGACCAACTCACGCTCCTACTCATACCCTGCGGCAGGGATCTGGCTCCCTGGTGTCTGTTGCCCTTCTTCTATCGGCCCAGGACACCCTTAGGCACAGCCAGGAAAGGCCACAATGCCAGATGGAAAGAAGGGAGTGAGAATTCAATACTAAGGGTAGGGACGCAATTATCAGACCCAAACTGCGCCTCTGGTACAAGTCAGGGGAGCGGCGTTCTTGGAGAACTGCTGGGAAAACGGGATACCCTGACTCGCATATATCAGGTGGGAGTTGAAGGTGCTGAATCTTGATCGAGACCTTCCCAGATACAGGACACTGACGCCACCATTCCCAGCCTGTGCCAGCGACTACTGCCGCCGCCCGGTTCAAACCCGCTCTTAGGCCGGGAAAGCCCGACTTCGGACTATCTGCCGCAGCGCCACTTGGGAAACTGAGTTCGCCCCTCACGGAAACCACCGGCGTAGTAGGCTGCGGAACTACGTTTTCCTGTAAGCGACACGTGCGTTCACACCCACCCCGTGAAGCTTGCCGGGAAACCGAGTTTTTCTGATTCTGTAGTGATCGTATCTACGGACCAAATGAACTACGTATTCCAGGGTGCATTGCGCAGTTAGTAACGGTGTCCCGCCGCTGGTCCCAGGACTTCTTGGGAAATGAAGTCTAAGCGACCTTGACACTTAACAGCCTGGGTTACCCTTGGGACTCCATTCCCCAGCAAGCTTAGGGTGCAGCGTGCGCTATGGACCCGCAGGTCGCAGGGCTGAAGCAAAAGATTGAGGACACATTGTGCCCTTTCGGCTTCGAGGTTTACCCTTTCCAGGTAGGTTTGTCCCTCCTGCGGTGCTAGGGCGAGATGTGTGGTTGGACCGGCGTGAGACCCAGGAGCCTTCTGATCCTTCCCGAGCTCCTCTAGCACCGTGTCCAAACTGACCTATCGGGACAGGGTTTCAACGTGGGTTTGGGTTAAAAAGGTAAAGAAACGGTGGCATGCTTTTACTCCCATAGAATGCAGATTGATGAGTAACAGACGCCATGTGATCCAGTAACTTGTGCCTCTGTTACCTATATAATTTACAGGAAGAAAGGGGCCTGTGTGGCCATAGTCACCTTGGAAACTTCCCAAAGGAGTTAGGAGAGAGCAGAGCCTGGAAGGTTTGCTTGGCTGGGATTTAGGGCATCTGTGGAGGGAAGAGCATCCCTAGCAAACAATTGGCTGATTTGTTCAATCTACCAACAGAAGGACAATTCATGATGTTGCCATTCACTAGCCCTGGACTGGGTGTAGAAACTCTGCACCCACCTGACACAGAAGTCTGACACCACCACCGACCCTTATTTACATAGGTCTGTTTCCCACTTACCTAGTGTCTGCTCTGAGCCCTATGCTTGGATACAAAGCTAAATCAACTCAGTTGAGCCCATTGCCTGATGCGTAAGAGACAGCACGCTCCCACCCTTTCCACTGAGGTGCTGGGAGAGAATATAAAGGACGATGTAGGTTGGGTCTAGCTTGAGAGAGAAGACTTCCGAGGAAAAAAATGGAGTTGAGCTATATATGAAAAGATAGATTGGAAGGAAAGAGGGTTTTGTACATCCCAGATATCAGGAACAGCTTGAGTAAAGGTGTGGAGGTAGTGGTGGATGGCAGGTATCGTGGAGAGTGAGGACACCTATCTGGTGGGTCAAGTAGACCCGGGTAGTGGGAGCTATTGTACTGAACATAGCCACCTGCAGCCCTGCCAGTTATCCTAGGCTATTTCTCGCACCTCCCAACTCCCACATCCAGTTAGTCACCAAGACCTTTAAGAATCTGTCTCCTGAATCTCCCAAATCCACTCCCTTCCACCCACCCAACCTGTGCTTTGGTCCAGGCCACTATTTCTCATTTTAATTACTGCAGTAACCTCCTTGCTGTCATTTTTGCCTCCAGTCCATCCTCCACACGACAACCAGATCTATCTAAAACTGACCATGTCAGTTTACTAATCCTTATATCCTCAACAGCTAGTCCCTCATTGTCACCAGTGAATACCTTAAATTGGCGTTAAAGACCAATCACAATTTCACCCCTACTGATCTCTCTAGCCTTCTTTCCCCCTTCTCCCCTCTATAGACCCTCTACTTCTATCAAACTAGACAATTTGCTTTTTTTCCAAGCGTGCCATGTACTTTTTGCCTGTCTTTGTTTATGCTGTGACCTCTGTTTAGAACACACACCAGATTCTCCCTCCCCACATCAGTCTGTTAGTTTCCTTCCCAGCCTTGGAGACTTAGCTTTCAAGAGGCCTAATTTTAGAAAACCCTTACCTGGCCCTGTCATTGCACTAATCACAGTATAGTCTATTTCTTTTGTTCTTAGGTGATCAAGAATTCTCTGCTCTATTCTAAACACTGTCAAATTCAGATGAGTCCTCCATTAACAGGCATCACAGAGCATCAGGAGAAATTCATTGGGTGAATGAGATGGAGGCTGGGGCAAGATGTATGAGGACTTGAATGCCAGGCTAAGGTATGGGCCTGGCAAAGCCTTGAGTTGGCCTTCCTGCATGGCCTAATTTTCTCTCTGTTCCAGGTGGCCTGGTACAATGCACTCCTGCCTTCAGCCTTTCACCTGCCCCTACCAGGACCTACCCTGGCCTTCCTGGTTCTCAGCACACCTGCCATGTTTGACCAGGCCCTCAAACCCTTCCTGCAGCAATGCCACCTCCGACCACTGACGGACCCTGTGGACCAGTGTGTGGCCTACCACCTGGGCCGTGTTAGAGAGGTGAGCAAGGCTCATATCCTCCCCCAGATTCCAAACCTGCAGCTGCTTCCACCAGCTCCTCCAAGCCCACGACAGAATCTAGACCTATCTAGGGCTAGGAGCCATTTCCAAGGTGGGATATCCTAAAGCCAGCCTTGACACTGTGATCTCTCCATTTCTGCCTTTTCATCCCAGTTCAGCCACCTTCCTCTAGCAGCACCCCCAGGTCTGGAATCAATCTCGCTTACCCTGAACTGGCAGGCAGCTACGTGAACCTCAGACCAGACTTGCCTTGTCCTCCAAGTGAAAGAGGAATAGGCCCAACATCCCCTGGGCATCTCTCACCTGGTCTGCCCTAGATCTTAAAGCTTTTTTGCTGTCTTTGAGGCCTTTTGAGGACAGGACAATATTCCCCCACCACAGACTCACATGTACACAATACAGTGGGTCTCCCCAAAGGTGAGCCAGGTCTTCCTCCACATTGAGACTCTGGAGGGCAGAGCCAAGACACCTCTCTTAATCGTTTCTGAGCAAAACCTTGTGTATTTCCCTTTAAACATGAGCTGTCCTGAACAGAGTATAATTTTATTCACACTGGAGTCCCCCACCCCAAGTTTAAGGTCATATTTTCCCTACAAACATGCCTTCTGAGGACAGGACCATGTTAATACACTTAGGGCTCTTTAGGAAAAGGTCATGCATGATTCCTCATGTTGAAAGAAGCCTCCATCTTGTCCTCTATCCCAGAGCCTCCCAGAGGTGCAAGTGGAAATCATCACAGACTACGAGGTACACCCCAATCGGCGCCCCAAGATTCTGGCCCAGACAGCAGCCCATGTGGCAGGGGCTGCTTACTACTACCAACGACGGGATGTGGAATCTGACCCCTGGGGAGCTCAGGTCAGAGAGCAAGTGTGAATGAGTAAAAACAAGAGGTCGTGAAAGTCCCTCAAGATAACAGGTCCTACATTCTCCCTCCCTTGGGAAATGGAGTCGGTAGACACAGTTCAGAACAAAGTTGTGCCTTGCCTAGAGGTCCAACCCCACATGCTTTCTGGAGTCTTCCTGGGAACACATCAGGTCAGAAAACCTGGTCTGTTCTTAATACCGTTACAAGATAGAGTGGGCAGTGCAGTGATTAGACCAGTAGTGAGACTGGGAAGTTGATTGAGGCTCTGTGTAAGGAACCCTTCCCCAAGGCCAGAGTGAGCTCTATGAAAAAGGTAATCCAAGAGGGAACGGGGAAGCCCAGCCACAAGAGTGACAGCTCACATTGAATTGTGTCCCTTGAGTGAGACGTAATGAGCAAGCCTAGCTTGCAGTGATGGTAGTTGACTTGGTGTGAAACCATGACCTTGCCTTTTTTCACCATCTGTAGCACATATCAGGTGTGTGCATACACCCCCGCCTTGGGGGCTGGTTTGCCATCCGGGGAGTGGTCCTGCTGCCAGGAACAGAGGTGCCCAGTCTGCTACCCACAAAGCCCCTGGACTGCATACCTGCTAGAGCTGACCGCATCACTCTGCTTGAACGTTTTAATTTCCATTGGCGTGACTGGACTTACCGGGATGCTGTTCCACCCCAGGAGCGCTACTCAGAAGAGCAGAAGGTGTACTTTTCCACTCCACCTGCCCAGCGCTTAGCCTTACTGGGCTTGGCCCAGCCCTCAGAGGAGCCTATCTCTGCATCCCCTCAACTTCCTTTCACCACACTCACACCCAAGCCTAAGAATCCCAGCAGAGGCCGGGGTTGGCTCAGCCCCAGGGTCTCACCACCTGCCTCCCCTGGCCCTTGAATACCCTCTTCCCTCCTCCCATCCCCCTTTGAGATCCCTATTTATGACAGCAGTACTTGCTAGGACTTTGGCAAGGTTTTATTTTGGGTATAAGATGATTATTTTTGACTTAATAAAATTATAGTAGAGATCTTCAGTGAAGATGACAAAGCTCAGAGACATCTGGTCAAGGCAACCAGAAATCAAAGATGAAGGCAGATCCAGAATTTCCTACCTGCCTTGGAGTATGGCTACTATCTGTTAACCATTTTTCGGAGCAGTCATCCCCTAAATAACGGTACAGGCCTTTCAGCATCGTGAGGATTAAATAAATACATATGAAGCAGGCATATAGTAGTAAGTGGTATGTTGGCTGTTACTGAAGGCCTGGAAATTCCGTACTGCTATTCATGTCTTGCTTTTGTGAATACTTCTGTGGCGGGTAGCTAAGGACAAGTTGTCTGGAAGGACACAGTATACACAGAACGATTCTCCAAGTCCTGAATGGGCCTTAGCCTCAGGGGCCCAGCAAGAACCCACCTTCTCCCCTTCCTGACAACCTCCCACAGGTAAACTGTATGAATGAGGGCCAAAAAAGGACTATCCTCAGATAAAGGATAGAACCCAGGGAAGCCAGTAAGTACACAGCACTGTGCTTCTGCTAACTGAAATCCCTATCCCACAAACAACAGCCCTGTTAAGTAGCCCCTATCCACCCCACTTTCAGTTCCAAAAGTATAGAAGCCTCTAATTTTGGTATTTTATAGAGCTAGTGCCAGCCATTTATCACAGGAGACCAAGCTTCAGATTCTCATGCAGCCCTCCCAGTAGTGGTAATGTCCAAGTGATCTTATTGGAGCCTTAACCTGCAAACCAAACCAGCCCACAGCATAAATTGCACTGACTTGGACAATAAAGGATGTCTTGCTCTTCTCCCCCAGATTACACAGCAAAACAAAACGTTAGCGTCTTGATTCAGTTCCATTCCATGTCTACCTGCATTTCCCCTCAACATAAATTCCCAACCTAGGCAGCTCTCACTCGTCTTCCCCTGAAGAG